GGTTTGAATCTCAACGGTCCGACCGGCGGAGCCGCAAATGGGATACCCAAATAAGATTCAAGGTTGTTAAGAGGTTCGTAGTTACCGGTGATGATGTCTCCATCGGGTAACGTAATTTGAGGGCCCAGTAGACCGTGGACGGATGATGTTAACGCCAAAAGTTGAAGGGCTAATCCCAAATTGGCCAAAACTGATTTCATTTCGTGGGTAATATGCTTTCTTTTTCTTGGTACTTTTCTATTTCATGGGATCATTTTTGAGAGGAATAGAAGCAAGTTTTATACCCTTTTTGAAGCTTTGTGCAGTAAAGGTGCCATTTTACTAGACGGACGTCGGAGTTCAGTGTCCCATTATCTCTGATAACCGGATATCCTGGCATCGTATCCGCCTCAGTATATAGGGCCACCGACTACCCTTCTCTTGTAGATACCTTACATAGAAATTCATTCTCTTTTAGCTAGCTAACAGTATCCACTATTACCTACTGGATATATCACAGTTTGGTGGTATCAGCGTTTAGCGGGTTTAATGCAATCACATTTTGCAGTGGGATGGATTTCGGTCTGCGGTGGGTAGGTGACTTTCGCGGGTCTACCTACCATTTTGTGCATTGCCATCCGCCGGCTTTGTAAACAATAATTATGCACGCAAGGATATAAGCCTTATCTCCGTAAGACGACACTCGTAAAACTGTCGAAAAAGGTAAAGATATTGTGAATAGATTTCTCAATTTCGTTTGACCGAACTCCTCATAAAGTGAATAAGGACTGGCTTATGTGGTATATCTAGTACGTAATAGTAGATACTGTTAGCTAGCTAAAAGAGAATGAATTTCTATGTAAGGTATCTACAAGAGAAGGGTAGTCGGTGGCCCTATATACTGAGGCGGATACGATGCCAGGATATCCGGTTATCAGAGATAATGGGACACTGAACTCCGACGTCCGTCTAGTTAAATGGCACCTTTACTACACGTTGTAGATCGGGGTTTATTGGTAAGAAAATATCACGTATTACCTTGTTCTGCAGACCCTAAAGGATACTTTCTCCTTTGAATCAGCAAAGCATTAAGACCTCCTAATTCATGGTACTTTAGCCAAATGCACCTACAATGCTTTTCCTGAAGGTTACCTGAGACTATCCGACACCACAACTTCGATAAAGGATTCATAGTTGTGGTAGGCTCAAGTAAGATATGCTTTAGGGGGTATAGACAATCTGAAGTGATTGCGGTCCCAACACTAAGCCAAAATCAATATACCAAGCATCTTCAATCCTCTCCATAAGACTCAATATGGCTTGGCTTGCGCTCGATACGGGAAACCGAAAGAAGATGTTTATATTAAATGTGTCGTTGAACCCTACCGACATCGGCAGATATCACCTCTCAAGTGATATCCTCTTGGCTAATGGTGTCAACGGTTACCTAATACACTACCCTTCTGTATGGTGAAATGGGCAATATCAGTGCTGTAATGACTACTTCATGTATATTCAGGCTGTTACTAAGCGATGGATATATAACTATAAACAGTAAAAACGTGTCATTTATTATCAGTCAGAAAGGTGGGAATCAACAGAGTTTACATTAAAATGTTTTGGTAGTTAGTGTTGAGGAAACTCATTGCCGCCTGTCTGTAGTT